GTGTTGTTATGAATCATAGGCAGAATAATGATAAGAGCACGATTAGGGTTCAAAAAGGGAGCTCTGTATGATTGGTACCTGGTCGAGCTGCGAGTGCTACAAATGATTGGTTTAGGATTGCACTGGCTTCACGCAGTGCGAAAAGGCATACATCTCTTTCCCACTCTTTCTGACTTTTCCCAAATGACGCCTCGGAATCTGGGCAACTTGCGGCTGTCTCACTGATGGTAGGCTGGGGGGAGCCCCACCATCGCACCAAGAACTTGATTTTGTACTTTGATCTTGCCCGGCAGGCTTGAGCTCAGAGCTAGGGGTCGTTAAGGTTGAGTGGAGCTGTGCGGCAGCGTTGAATCTCCGCCAATGTCGAAGTTTAGGGTTTAGGGGGTCCGAGTTCCAGAGCATAAAGCAGAGATATGAGTCTAGTGCTGGATCCGAACCGCATCTTGAGGATGCCAAGGATCCCTGGCTGCTGCTCTGCCGGGGCCCCGCTGGTGGAGTAATTTTTGAGGCCTTCCGAGGTTGGGGCGACTCGTCTGCCAAATAGCAGCTATAGAAGCCTGGAAACAACAACGAACGAAACCGCCCCCTCCTCTTGCTAAGTGCTCCTCAGCTCCTACATTCGTAATCACACACTTCACGCTGCTACGTTCAAGAAACAACAGTAATCATAACAGTAGAAAGAACGATAATGGTAAGTGTTCTACTGCTTCTATCACTAAGAGGCAATCGGAAGACAACCCATGTTAATGTGACGGAAATAATCTTGGCCGATGTTTTTTTTGCCAATGCTATTTTGGTGCTTCTTCCGTATTATAAATTCCGCATAACGGTCCCCAAAACCGTATTATTATTCTTTATCAAGGCCCCTATATCATAGAACCCTACTTGTGATCCCTTTGAAGGCGCCCCATTCCAATTATTAAAAGCCTAGACCCTAAACCCCAAACCCTTTTAAGAATCCTTTAAAGGAGTCCTATTCTACTTATTCAGGCCCTATACCTAGACCCTCCATTTACCCTCTATTAGACCCTAAATGCCCCTTATTTGGGACCATATACCCCTATTTGAGGGTACAAGGAGGGTCCTGGTAAAGAAGCAGACTCCGAGAGATCCCGAGGCCATCATTTCCTGCAGTACAACGCCGTCCTCAGCGGTGGCCAGTGGAAGTCCCAGCCCGCTGCCGATGTCCATCATACTATTTTGTGTGTGGGGGGGGGGGGGGGTGCCTTATTGTAATTATAGTATAAGTATACTTATAGTCTTATAGTATGGTTATAGTATAGTTATAGTATAATTATACTTATAGCATAATGGGCCCCCAAACCCCATCGAAAGACTGTGCATCGTCTCTTGTGACTTGGGTGTGCTGCTTTCTGGTTCTGTGGCTGTCTGTTGCAGCCTGGCCCAGCATTGAAGAAAGTATGAATTCCGCATCCACAGGCTGCACAGGAGTGATGCTCTTCAGATCTGGCATTCCTGGCAGCTTGGATGTGGCTGGGCCAGGTTCTTGGGCGGAAAGGTGGCGAACCGGGCGCAGAAAACCGCACCAGAAGGACACTCAGGGCGCTGCTGTCTCATGCACGGCTTGCCACTGCGTGTAAGTCTCGAAGCATTGGCTCTGCAGGAGCTCGCTTCTACTCCTTCAGCTTACCAGCAGGTCAGCAGCCAGCCCAGCAAGTGGTAGGACACAGGTGTGTGTCAGACAAATCGCACTTGGTGCTGTCTTTGTGTGGAGGAATTCGATTATAGGGTGGTGTTATGCTGACGACGATGACGACGAAACGGTGCTGTTGTTGACAAACTTCATAATGTATCTCGAAGACCTCCACCACCACCCCCACCACCATCACTGACGGACATTATAGTTTTCCAGTGCAGCTGGATGACGATGACGACGAGTGCGGCTGGCCGTTTTGGGGCGCAAGGCCTGACTTTGTAAGGTCGACCCATGGCCGTGTTCAGAGCCCCGACCTCAGTCTGTTCGGGTGATGATGTATGTGTATGTGCACATGAAGCAGATGCAGGTATGCACACATATTACATGTGTATGTATATATATATATATATATATATGCACATGTCTACATTGATACTTATAAATATCCAGTTACATTCATATATATATATATATGTATGTATGTATGTATGTATGTATATATATATATATATATATATGCTCACACCCCCCCCCCCCAAGACCTACCGCGAGGTGCTTCGGCTAGCAATGGGTAGTAGAACATGTAAGGATTTGAGGAAACCATTAGGATAAAATACACTCATACATAAACAATGGAAACGTATATCGTGTATAATCAATAGCTGAATACACTGTAATGACCTACGACGGCGCGACATCGCCGTTGGCGGATTTGGGCAAGCTTCAATGCCTGCAATTGTTTAATAGGATACTGCCTAAATGTTCCGGATATTCATAACTCTGGTCATATAATGACCATAGGCATAACCCGAAGACAGGACCAAGACAGAACAGTGTCTACATCCTACGTAAGATCGTTAGATGCGCCGGGTAACTTTGTGTTTGTCATTGTCTGTTTTTAATTTTGTTCATGTACTCATAGGCATAACCCAAAGACGGGACCAAAACAGAACGATGTGTGCATCCTACCTAGGATCGTAATGAGGGTTACATGTGCACACATGTTTATTCTGTGTGAAGCTCTTAGGTTACTCATGCGCCAATGTGTATAATAGCTATTACTAGTGCGAATACTAATACTGATACTAAGATTTCTATTCCTACGAATAAGGATATTACTGTTCATAACATAATAGGCTTAATGGTTAATACTAGTATTAAAAATTGCACTACTAATTCGAATAGTAGTGCTGATGGGAATATTAACACTCCTGGGGATACTAATACGCATATTCTTATTAACTGTTCTCAATATGAATACTAATAGTACTAGTTGTTTGGAATACTAATACTTGTCCGAATATTCATACCAATACTCAGGCTACTGCGATTATACATAATAGGACATTAATATGGGTATTCGTATTAAGGTCAGCATTTCCTTCGAAAGTATTCATATGCGCATCATAATTCATCTTAATACTCGTACTGATATGAATTAGTATGATTACAAATACTTTTACGAAGACGGGTACTTTCAGTAATACCGATACTAATATGAATACTAGTGTTCCTACGAATATTAAAAAACATACCCATATTGATAGTAATTTTATTTTTTATTTGTTACCAATATACACGCAAATGCTAACATTAATACTAATATGCACATAAGTGATACAGTTCCTCCGCAGATTAATGCGCATAGTCTTATTAATTATTCTCAGTATTTATATTCACATTAAAAAACCTACACTAACATGAATAGCAGTATTACCACTTGATACTCCAGATAATACGATTATGCATAGTATGAACAGCGATACTGCTATTGATACCAATATTAATGCTCCTACGAATACTAATTACTAATAATCACGTTCAAACCAAATACAAAAAACAGACACATCAATGTACCAAAGAATCTGTATTTTCACATACCAATAAATAATATACTCGTATACTACTATTCCAATGTTACCATAGACTATGAGACTATACACTAAGACCAAGACTAATACGAATACTAAAACTCACACTAGACATTAACACTACCATTAGTACACCTATTGTATAGACTTATATTCAGACTAATACTAACGCTGACATTGGAATTGACATTGACACTGACACCAACACTAACAGTAACACGAATCAACACGCTAGAACGCAGATACTAATACTAACACTAATGCCTAATGCACATCTGAAGACTACTGCGCGTAAACAACGAAACCATTTCCGATCAAGCATGCTGCGCGCTGTATTGGCTCTAAGGCTCCGAGAACCAAAAATCCAAAAAACCAAAAAACCAAAAATCCAAAACCTTTGTCAGGGGGGTCGAAACTTTTGGATTTGTTGGTTTTCCTAGGGTTTTTTTGGTTTTCCAACAGAAAACCAAAAAAATCCAAGGTTTTTTTGGTTTTCCAGCAGAAATCCAAAAAAATCCAAGGTTTTTTTGGTTTTCCAGCAGAAATCCAAAAAAACACAGGTGTTTTTTTGTTTTTCACGAGAGACACAGCAGAAAAACCAAAAAAACCTTGTGTTTTTTTGGTTTTCCACCGAAAATCCAAAAAAAGCCATGGTTTCGCCAAGGCAAAGCCCAAAAAACCAAAAAAGACCTAGGAAAACCAAAAAATCCAAAAGTTTCGGGCCCCTCAGAAAGGCTTTGGATTTTTGGATTTTTGGTTTTTTGGTTTCCGCCGTCGTATCGTATGGTTTCTTTTAATGTTTCTTGCTTATGAATACAGGCATATGAATTTGAAAGCGGACATGAGTAGGCACGACGTTGTAAAGAGACATGACTTCACATCAGCCATGATAGAGAAGGTAACATCCCCTAAAATTACGCAAAACACGAATCGTATGCCAAACGCGAATCCCTGCCAAGAGAAGGTTTTGACGGTATTTACAATGGAAAAGAGGCCGAGGTAGGTCATGGGGGGGGTGTGTCCATATATATATATATATATATATATATTATGTACACATACATACATGCATACAGATTTTCATACCTTCATATATACACATGTGCACAACATGTATGTATGTATGTAATGTATGTATGTATGTATGTATGCATGTATGTATGTATGTATGCATGTATGTATGAGCGTAAGAAGATATGCATGTATGTAGGTAGGTAGGTAGCTACGTAGGTATAAGTACATATACATTCATACATACGCACATGTGTGCACATATCTGCATACATATTCATATACAGATATAAGCAGATCAACATCTGCATACCTATATTATATTATATATATATATATATATATATATGTATATGTATCGTGGATTGAGCATGATTTTTTGTACCCCGGATGTTCTTGATCAAGGATTAAGACCGCTGAACCGTAAAACAGGGCTTTCATGGCGAGGCTACTTGGACAGCATGGACCAGCTCTCCATTTCTGATGCTCAGCGAGGCGTGGGGCTGGGATGTGGGCATTGTCAGCACGAAGATAACCACTGGGTCCATAGAGCCCTACCTAGCAGGGCTTCGTCGTTGCCAAGTAGGAGCGAATAAAATAGAGTCCTACCTCGTTTGTGGGCGTTGATCCTGGCCATGCGGGAGGGAAATTCGAGTTTAGGAATTCAGATTTACCGGTCGGAATACTCAGGAGTAATTGTGCATGGGTGTCTCTTCGGTACACACGTAGTACAGTTGACACCACAAACTACCGTTGCACAGAGGGTCAGGCGTGGGAATTCTGAAGTCCGGAAGCTTGCATAATCTTGTCAGAAGCCTTGCGAGATCGCATGCTGGCCTGCATGCGCACCATCTACGGCCTGATCTTGGCCTTGTTCGATGAGGCTGGCATGTGCAGCCTCTTTGTTGGGTTGCAGGGATTTGAGGTTGGGGGAGGGCAGAGGGCACCCGAGCTGCTACAACAAGGCTTCGAGTCCATTCGTATCCATTCGTGCTGCGACCGACTGTTCTTGTAGAGATCTGCAGGCGTACAGCGTGGCCAAGATTGAAGGTGTTTCCTTCGCATCAACGAAGGCCTGGCCTATACTTCTCCCAGATTCCAGACATCCGGGTGGTTGGAAGCAGTATGGAGTCTTGCACGGTATGCATCCGTCGAATTGCGGTGTGCAGGCCGCGAGCGCTGGGGCAGGCCGACAGAAGTTCAGCCATTTTGAGCTGTGGTCAAGCCACTCAAGTCTTAAGGTTCGTCATCCCGGACCGTAAACCACAGACCTTAACTCTGCCCTGTGAGCGCAAGAGTCGAAACCTTAACCGTATCCTACAGAATTCTGGGGAGCCTTTTTTTCATGATCTGCAGAAGGTCCCCAAGCTAGTCGGCCAGGCTCCGCGCCCGCCAAGAAGAGGAAAGTTCCACCCCCGCCGCTGGCACCCGCAGACAAGGTGAGAATTTCGGTTGTTCTTAGGTTCTGGGCTTCCTGTGCATGTGCAGGTGGAAGCTCGCTGAAACAAGTGGTACAGCAAATCACACCATGATCTACAACAATCGCCCTCAAATTCGAGTGGAGCACCTTTTTTCAGCAACTCTCCCACTCCTTCCGAAGATTAGAGTGTCGTAAGTATGTTTCTCTGGAACTGCGGGACGCCTAGTTTTAGGGATCTCTCAAGACAGGATTTAGGGCTCCATGTGAGGGATGCCTGGTTTTGGATCTGGGATCCTTAGATTTTTTGGGGTATGGTGAAGGAGTCTGGCGGTCAGTATACTTCGGACACTGCACTCTCGATTCCATGATGTTGGGTAGCAGGTAGCAAGACAAGCCTTTTGCTTTGCCCTCACAAGTAGGACTCAAGCAAGGGGCTGTAACCCTTTCTTCAGCTTCCGACTCAAAGCATTCCATGTATGGTCTGGAGACAAGTCTTTCAAAGCTGACGAGGCCTTCACGTCTGCCGAACTTGCACGGTTCGACGGCAAGGGCCCGGGCAAGCCCATTCTCACCTCCGCCATAGCCTTGGCATCCCAGTCGGAAGGCCAGTATCTGGGTGTTCCTGAAGGGCTGCTTCTCGCTTTTGTTATTAACTATGGTACATAATAAATTCGATATAATGAAAACACGAAACCCCACGAGGCCAGCAACAACAGCAGTGTTCTGATGTTGGGTCACCGGGGCTTATAGTTGTGGAGTTCCGATTCCGGGCACATCATGACTCAAGCATGTGGCCAGAAGAAGCGCGATTTGGCAACCTCTCATAGGGCCCGAAAAAAGGACATATAATCCCCCTTAAGGAAGGCCAATAGGCGCAGCCTGGCGGTTTAGGGTTTGGGGTTTAATAGAGGGGCCTTGTTACTTAGATTAGGGTTTAGGGGTGAGGGGTTTCGGGTTTGGGGCGGACGCATTATACCGGTTTGGGGTTGGCACATGATACCATAGTAAGAACAAGGAACCCCCAAGATAGTCTTGGTAATTCTGTGTGCCCCTACATCAGTTGCTCTGGGCCTGAGTACCCATGTTGCCCGTTTTACGTTTCACCTCGTCAGCCCTCGAGGAGCCGGCTAGCCTTCTTCTTTCTTATTGCGTGCAACAAGACATCATTGCAACTTGCAAAGAAGTAGACGGTCATACCTATGGGCACGTAATATGGTGTACCAGGCATGCTAGTTTTGCATGGATGCTAGACCGATGCTAGAATGATGCTCCATGGAGCCCTATCAAGAAGCCAGAAAAGCCCCATCAAAGAAACATCATGAAGCCCCTTAGGACCTCGCCGCAGTATTGCCAAGTGTGAGCGTCAAACAACCCCCGAGTTCCCAAACCCCTTTAACCATTAGCCCCTCTAAACACCTTAAACCCTAAATCAATAACCCCTAAGCCTCTAAACACCCTAAGCCTTAAACCCTTAACTCCCAAGCCTCTAAACACCCTAAACCCCTTACCCCCTAAGCCTCTAAACTCCTAAGTCCCTAAACCCCTGTAAGTCCCCAGGTCCTCGGGCGCGTCTACGACGTCACCGGCGCGAAGGAATCGTTTGGGCCGGGAGGCACCTGAACTCGTCGGTCAACTCTTGAAGGGTTTCGGGGTTAGGGTTTAGCCTTTGGGTTTGAGGGTTTAGGGTTTAGCATTTGGTTTCGGGTTTAGGGTTTAGCCTTTGGGTTTGAGGGTTTAGGGGTTTTTGGTTTGAGGTTTTAGGGTTTCCTTGAGTTGGGGTTCCTTTGAACGTGTTCGTATTAGGTTGTCCATATGGGTGGCCGCAAGGGTTGTAGGATTTCGTACTTGCTTTACGTGTTTGGCCTGTCGGGTTCTATGCGTGCAATATTTGCGAAATGGAGGGAGGGAGGGATTCAGGATATACGGCCTCAGGCACGAACAAGAACAAATCTCTGCCCAAGCTTCAATCCCGAAACCCCGCAAAGCCCTATTTGGGAGTTTCCGAAAATAGGGGACCCTAATATAGTACCCTGAATAGTAGGATCCCTATTATAAAGACACCAAAATAAGGTACCCCCAATTTTCGGAACCTCCCTTTACATGCTGATGCAACTCAGGGCCTTACGAGATGTTTGCAGGCCCCGAGCTCAGCTGTGGAATCCGAAGATATCAAGGTTAGAGGTAGGGCGGTTTAGCTTTTATAGGGATCAAGAAGGTTATATCGGGGTTGAGTGATATGGGGTCTGGACATACGTGCAAGTATGGTCTTCGGTGGTTCTTGCAGGTTTAAGGATTATGCGGGGCTCGGAGTGTTGAAAATTATGAAGTCTCGGGCTCACTCATGTAATGGTATTCGCAAGACAGGCATGTTCAAGACACCCTATTTTGGGTGTCACTTTGGGTTTTAGGGTGACACCCTATCCCGTCAACTCCATCTCCCATGTGCACTTCAAGAGACACACCCCCATATCAGCCTGCAGATGTAAGAGACCTCAGACCCCCCGGCAACATGCCTTCGCCTGCCGATGCGATGGATGCAAGAAGTCTCTAAACCCTAAATCCTGAGGCCACGATGGCACCTACAATTTGGCGGTCATGACGCTCAAGAAGCACACGGTGGACAAGACCGACTATACCCTAGATGCCGAGGACGCCGTGTAGACCGACTTCCCCGAGGTTCAGGGTGAGTGACCAGGACTTGCCAGAAGGAGAAGACCCCTAATTCCTCCCTAAACCCGAAAAAAATTGGGTTCCCTCTACAAACTTAGCCGTACGGGGTACTGTTAGCAACCAGGCTACAGCTTTGGAGATCTCTGGAAACTGCAGCTTCCGATTTCCCCCAAGGAGCGCTACTTTGTTCTATTGACACCCTATCCGCCCTATCCGCCCTGTCTATCTGTCTATTTTTCTGCTTGTCTAGTCTATCCATCTAAAGGTTTTTATGTATCTCTATCCGGCTGAGTGTAGCTGCCAGAGCCCGCACTCGCACCAGGGAATTTGCCTCCGCTAAGACATTCTTGCTTGCCTAGACCGAGGGGGAGCGATGTGGCTCGTGTGAAGGATATTTGTGACTTGAATATGCCTTCGTGCAGCATGCAGGAAGCCGAACACTCGTAGCAGAATTACAAAGTAGTATGTTGGGATACCATGACCCATACATAATCCCCAAGCTGAACAATAGGGGAGTGGACAACGAAGTATAAGCCTGAATGCTGAGTTGTCGCTTCTTCCAGGCTCTTGCACTTGCAACGATCTCTCCTGTCACATGCTGAGAGGACAAAGAATGCCTTGCGGATTGGATTGCCTACTTCGACAACCGCACCAATCTCAGAAGGAATCTTGGCGTTTTCGAGTTTCTGCCTTCAGAGTGCTTCATGGAGCCGGAAACAACGAGCAACTCAGCAACTCCCCAGCTGTCCCCATGCTATCGCATTCCCTGCCAGCTCGGTTTGCGTACTTCAGTCAGCACAGAGACAGAGAGAGAGAGAGAGAGAGAGAGAGAACCAGACAGACAGAGAGAGCGGAGCGGAGCGAAGCTGTCGGCAGACACCGCAAGCAAGGTTACGGGCAGCCCCTGGGCGAGTTGCGTGACAGGCACGATGCTGCGGAGATATGGGCATTGGATAACATTGAGGCTGCCCCAAGCGCTACCAACTAAGCAAGCCACTCCGGTGACCTTACGTAATTAGGCCGGATCCTGGACATTCACGAGTTGTCGATTGGTTTCATTTGTTCTGCGTTACTTTTCTGCAGGCGCCATCCCATCAGCATCAAGGACTCGGCAGGTCGTAGCATGTCGTGCTTCACATTAAAGGCCTGTGCACCTATGTGGAACTATGTGGTATGTAGTACGTAACATGTTATATACGTTGGGCGTAAAGGGGTACCACATATCATATTCCGTGGGGTCGTGATCTTGTGAAGTGTCATGCGATTGAATTGCGAATAGCCGTTGGGTATGTGCTATTTCAACAGAAACGATAAACCAAAGGCCAAGACAATCTAGCAGAACGGTTGATAGGAAGGGCAAAAAGGTGTCCTCTTTGGGCGAATCTAAATTTAGGCAAGGTTGAAACAAGGTGTCATCGTTGGGATGTAGAGCGAAGGTACGGGGGGAAACGCATAAAATCTAGTAGTTACGCACTCAAGCGTCCGGTTAATAGCAGGTAAGCAGGGAACGCCCGGAAAGCGAAGATAACGGCTGGTGCGAAGAAGTTTCAAGATGTGGGTGGGGGTGTCCGAACGGATTTTGGGGTGCAGGTTGATTGATCATCCTGATGTAGGTGGCGGGTACTTGGGGCGGATTTTGGGGCACGGGTTGCTGGCAGGGCCCGGAAGAGTCGGTAAAGAAACGGTACAAGGAAAAGGTGGAAGCCGGGAGTGGCCGAGTAGAAAAGACACAAAAAGGCGACGAGGTAAAGGTCGGAGCACAGGGGACCGAGAAGAAAAGGCCAAAGACAGGCGGCACCCACCCACCCATAGAAGCATACCGCGAACTACTTCGGTGTGTTGCAGCAGAGTCAGTCAAAAGCGATTGTATCGTTGCCGTTTCCTCGCCCTTCAATCCGGATGCTTCGGATGCGAGTGTTCTTTCCAGGTACTTTCTGCCTCATGTGGGAGTTTCCGAAAATAGGGGTACCCTATCTAGGGGTCCTTATAATAAGGAACCTACTATTTGGCGTACGGAAACCTCCATGTATGATGCCTTGTCTTGTGCATTACCTTGCCATCACCTGTCTCAGGTACCTTCAACTTGCCTTTCTCTCGGCTGGCTGGCTTTTTCACCGTTACCAGGCTCTTTTGATTTACCTGTCTAGTCACGTGTTACCTTTCAGCCATCTGTCCATCTTTCTCGGCTACCCTTTATGTACCTATGTTTCAGCTTTTTGCTTTCCGGGTGTGTATAGAGTCTACCACCAACACGAGTGCCTGTTCATAACATTTGGACTCAGGTGTTGATCTACCCGGTGAGCCTTGACATGACCCCGTGTGCACTTCGGATTGGAAGCGACGGTCTTGCCGTGAAGCAACAGCAGTTGAGATACCCTAAACCCTAAAACCCTAAACCATGGCGTCCTTGCTAGGTAGGAGGGAAAAAATCCTAAACCATGGAGATCTCGATGTGTGAGGATCTGCCCCGAGCTACCAAGATCCCCTTCGAGTCTGCCGAAGAGGAGCCCGGTGGCCGAACAGCCCTGGACAGCTCCTGGTAGCTGGTAGCCGTTGTGTTCAGGATTTGCAATGCCGAAGCATGAGGTTTGAAACATACCGGGTGACCTCAAGAAGGTGCTTCTAAGAGTGTAAACCGTACTACACACAAGTGCCTGTAGGATTCAGGGCCAGAGAACTGCATCTCATGCCTTCTAGAGCCCTTATCGAACCCTCAACTTCCGAATCCTCTAGAACCTACAAGCCCGAGATGCAGGAGGACGACAGCGCAAAGCCACCTGCGAGCAAGCTGTGAGATGTGCAGAGGGCCCTGCAGAGGGCCATACGGCTGAAAACCAGGGCTTTGCCGTTTCATGTTTGACGTTCTTATGATTGTTACCCTCTTTATATACCAGTCGAGTTACTATTGTAATTGCTGCTGTTGCTGCAAGCATCAATATGGCCTTGATTACTACCATAATCTTTATTAGCCTCAGCCTTTTTGTTGATCCTGCAATGACGGAGGCCGATGTACAGACAAAGTTTTGACCATGCGGTGGCAGCCTTTCCTCAGTCCCATTTTCAGGCAGCCTGCCTCGATTTTCGCTGCTGCACCGACCCAAGGTTGGTTTTCTGGGAGCCTGCCTCGGGAAAGATTCCAGTTTCGGAGAGCCCGAAGCAAAACGACAGAGAGAGAGAGAGAGACAGAGAGAGAAATATTTGTATACATGGTGTATATATACGTATGTATATACATGTTTGTATATACACGTATCTATCTACATGTAAAAACTTTTGTGTATCTCGCAAGACCGTGTCCTTGGTCTGGGCAAGGATTCAAATGCCACCTGCCGTGCACAGAGAGGGGTTTGCAGCCACTTCATGTGAGGTTCCTTTCGCTCGAGATCATCCTCTCGCATCGACAGCCTCGAGCACAGCCTTTGCCTTCGCCTCCCTGTCCTTTGCGCCTTGCCCAGCATGGCCATGGTCCTGGACGCCCAGCTGCAGCAGGCAGGCCTCTTCAAGAAAGTGGCGGAGTCCATGAAGGACCTCTGCAAGGAGGTGAACTTTGACTGTTCCGAGAGGGGCATGCAAGTACAGAGCATGGACAGCTCTCACGTGGCGCTGGTGTCGCTGATGCTGCGTGAATCGGCCTTCGCTGAGTTCAAGTGTGATCGGCCCGTGTCGTTGGGCATGAACGTGGATTCGCTCACGAAGATCTTGAAGATGACAGGTCCCAGCGACACGCTGAAGATCCGGCACAGGGGCGACACGGATGTGGTGAACTTCCAGTGTGAGGGCTCCGACGACCGCATCTCGGAGTTTGACTTGAAGCTCTTTCAAATCGAGAACGAGCACATGGAAATCCCCGAGCAGCACTACAAGGTGGTTGCCAAGCTCCCGTCGAGTGAGTTCCAGAAGATCTGCCGCGACCTGAAGGAGTTTGGTGAGACTCTGCATTTGACCGGAGACAAGGATGGCTTGAAGTTCGTGGTGTCCGGCGACATCGGCAGCGGCAACGTCCTGCTGAAGCCGCGCGAGACCGAGAAGCCAGAGGAGAAGGTGTCTCTCACGGTGCACGAGCCCGTTACCGCTGCTTTCGCTTTGCGTTACTTGGTGAACTTCTCGAAGGCTTCGCCCCTGTGCGGTTCCGTCACCCTGGGCTTTGCTCCGGATGCGCCGCTGCTGGTGCAGTATGATCTCGAGACGGAAGAGAAGGGCCACATGAAGTTCTACCTCGCACCGAAGATCGATGAGTGAAGACTTCCCATGTCTCTGTACTGTATGTCCCTGGAAGGCCTCGATAGGCTGAGTGTTTCGCGTCCGTAGGACTCACACAGGCTCTGGGCTCGTAGGCTTTACGGTTTTCGGGGGTTTCTCTGAGGCTGAGTAGCAAGCCCTGGGCTTCACAGTCGGTGGTGGGCAGACGAACCCGCCACCCTTGTGCAGGGAGCGGCTTCATGCACTACTCAGCACTGTCATGAAAAAGGAGGCGATTGCACAATGATGCTTTCCGCTACCGAGATGGTTGCTCTCCATGAGCGTTCGAAACAAGCCTTGCGTTGAGGCCCCGGTGGACCTCCACATGGGTTAAACTGTTAAACGTGAGCATAACAAGCAGTTCGAATTTGAGAGGTTCTCACAGATCTTACTTTGAAGAACAGAGCATTTCAGACTGGCGCCGGAAACCCAAGCCCAAGCCATTACCACAAGACCGTTCTCTGGTCTGAAATGCCACCTGCCGTGCACAGAGAGGGGTTTGTCAGAGCAACTACCAAGCATTTAACCCTTGACATGCATGTTTGCAGTTGTTTTTGGACCACCCCACAGCCCTGATACAACAAAGTGGAATCAGCGCTTCTCTACGCAATCAAAACAGGCTGCCACGAAATTTGAGTTACACGGGCGGCACAAAAATGTATTCCGTGCCACATCATGCCCGAGAGAGTACCCAGGTATGCTTGTTTTGATCGTCATCGGCACCAAAATCACACAGAAAGACGAGCGATTGCCTTGTGAGCAGCTCACTACGTGCAAGCCCTTTCATGCCACACCAGCGGATTTCAACAATTGGACGTGTTTAAAGACATCCTTTTTGCTGGGACAATGCTGGTGGCCACCACCGGCGTAACCGATGATGCGAAGTAGGAACATGATGACCCTAGCTTGTTCGATTTTCGGGCTTAGGGTTTATCGCTTAGGGTATCGGGCTTAAGATTTAGGGGTCTCATGACAGCTCCGAGATTGTTCCAATTACAGGGCGCCTGTCAGCACAAAGCCTGGTACTGTTCATGTCGCTGCCTCGTGCGAAGTCCTGCCAGACTGCGCCTCAGTTTTGCTTCATGTTTTTTATATGCAGCTTGGCAAGCATTTAAATACGATCATCTGTTTTTGAAAATCGTTTTTTCCAGGTATTGTGGAAATTTCAATAATGGGGCGCTCGCTATTTCCGTTTTTGAAAATCGTGGGGGCGTAGTTAAATGCCGCGCCGGTGCTTTTCTCAGGTTTGACGAACCACAGGGAGAACGAGCTGTACTACTTTTAATTGAAGGCCCTGAAGGCTGCGTGCTGTCAGGAGTCCCAAGCATTTAAATCTGGGGAGCATTTTTGAAAAACGAAATTGGGTGGGTGGCGAAAAAGCAAGTTTGAGGCTGGTTCCGATTCGGAAGAAATTGCAACCAGTGGCACAAATAAAGGATCTAAGCTCCAAAACCATCAGATCACTGCCAGAACGCTTGAGCCCCGAGTCTCCTCAAAAATTGTTTGGCCCAAATTCTAAGGATGTTTAATTAATAGAATGCCATCAGACCTCAGCCCGACCCTAAATGATTTAAGTGCAAACCAATATCGCTTCATCAGCCTGCGATCTTCTTGAGCCCGTTGCAGAACCGCCAATTGCCAGGCTCAGGGCTGCTAGGGTGTGACGTTGTCGACTTCGGATTCATCCCTGTTGGAGTTCATGCGTGGCAGGTTGGGGCAACCTGAGGTTACAACTTCCAGAGGGTATGTTAAAGGGTACAACTATGGCCATCGTATGACTTACTTCCTATTCAGACCTAATCCGCCCTAGCAGGCAACCTTGTTGCAGAACATTGCGGCTTGTCTATTTAGTGTTGCGTGTATGAGTACACAGAAGCTTACATGTTAACACAAAGGTATCCCGTTCCAGCGAAACCGGTATTTAGACGGATGTTTGAAATCTACTTCTCCACGTTGTTGCTTATTGCTGTTCACAGATAATGTGCAAACAGGATTTTTTCGGCAAAACAAAAGTTAAGCGTCCGATTTTTAAATGCTCGCCAGTTCCTCCCAGTTTGCAGCCACTTCATGTGAGGTTCCTTTCGCTCGAGATCATCCTCTCGCATCGACAGCCTCGAGCACAGCCTTTGCCTTCGCCTCCCTGTCCTTTGCGCCTTGCCCAGCATGGCCATGGTCCTGGACGCCCAGCTGCAGCAGGCAGGCCTCTTCAAGAAAGTGGCGGAGTCCATGAAGGACCTCTGCAAGGAGGTGAACTTTGACTGTTCCGAGAGGGGCATGCAAGTACAGAGCATGGACAGCTCTCACGTGGCGCTGGTGTCGCTGATGCTGCGTGAATCGGCCTTCGCTGAGTTCAAGTGTGAGCGGCCCGTGTCGTTGGGCATGAACGTGGATTCGCTCACGAAGATCTTGAAGATGACAGGTCCGAGCGACACGCTGAAGATCCGGCACAGGGGCGACACGGATGTGGTGAACTTCCAGTGCGAGGGCTCCGACGACCGCATCTCGGAGTTTGACTTGAAGCTCTTTCAAATCGAGAACGAGCACATGGAAATCCCCGAGCAGCACTACAAGGTGGTTGCCAAGCTCCCGTCGAGTGAGTTCCAGAAGATCTGCCGCGACCTGAAGGAGTTTGGTGAGACTCTGCATTTGACCGGAGACAAGGATGGCTTGAAGTTCGTGGTGTCCGGCGACATCGGCAGCGGCAACGTCCTGCTGAAGCCGCGCGAGACCGAGAAGCCAGAGGAGAAGGTGTCTCTCACGGTGCACGAGCCCGTTACCGCTGCTTTCGCTTTGCGTTACTTGGTGAACTTCTCGAAGGCTTCGCCCCTGTGCGGTTCCGTCACCCTGGGCTTTGCTCCGGATGCGCCGCTGCTGGTGCAGTATGATCTCGAGACGGAAGAGAAGGGCCACATGAAGTTCTACCTCGCACCAAAGATCGATGAGTGAAGACTGCCCATGTCTCTGTACTGTATGTCCCTGGAAGGCCTCGATAGGCTGAGTGTTTCACGTCCGTAGGACCCGTAGGACTCACACAGGCTCTGGGCTCGTAGGCTTTACGGTTTTCGGGGGTTTCTCTGAGGCTGAGTAGCAAGCCCTGGGCTTCACAGTCGGTGGTGGGCAGACGAACCCGCCACCCTTGTGCAGGGAGCGGCTTCATGCACTACTCAGCACTGTCATGAAAAAGGAGGCGATTGCACAATGATTCTTTGCGCCTTTGTGCTACAGGCAGGAATACCCGAGATGGTTGCTCTCCATGAGCGTTCGAAACAAGCCTTGCGTTGAAGCCCCGGTGGACCTCCACATGGGTTAAACTGTTAAACGTGAGCATAACAAGCAGTTCGAATTTGAGAGGTTCTCACAGATCTTACTTTGAAGAACAGAGCATTTCAGACTGGCGCCGGAAACCCCAGCCCAAGCCATTACCACAAGACCGTTCTCTGGTCTGAAATGCCACCTGCCGTGCACAGAGAGGGGTTTGCGAGAGGGGTTTGCAGCCACTTCATGTGAGGTTCCTTTCGCTCGAGATCATCCTCTCGCATCGACAGCCTCGAGCACAGCCTTTGCCTTCGCCTCCCTGTCCTTTGCGCCTTGCCCAGCATGGCCATGGTCCTGGACGCCCAGCTGCAGCAGGCAGGCCTCTTCAAGAAAGTGGCGGAGTCCATGAAGGACCTCTGCAAGGAGGTGAACTTTGACTGTTCCGAGAGGGGCATGCAAGTACAGAGCATGGACAGCTCTCACGTGGCGCTGGTGTCGCTGATGCTGCGTGAATCGGCCTTCGCTGAGTTCAAGTGTGAGCGGCCCGTGTCGTTGGGCATGAACGTGGATTCGCTCACGAAGATCTTGAAGATGACAGGTCCGAGCGACACGCTGAAGATCCGGCACAGGGGCGACACGGATGTGGTGAACTTCCAGTGCGAGGGCTCCGACGACCGCATCTCGGAGTTTGACTTGAAGCTCTTTCAAATCGAGAACGAGCACATGGAAATCCCCGAGCAGCACTACAAGGTGGTTGCCAAGCTCCCGTCGAGTGAGTTCCAGAAGATCTGCCGCGACCTGAAGGAGTTTGGTGAGACTCTGCATTTGACCGGAGACAAGGATGGCTTGAAGTTCGTGGTGTCCGGCGACATCGGCAGCGGCAACGTCCTGCTGAAGCCGCGCGAGACCGAGAAGCCAGAGGAGAAGGTGTCTCTCACGGTGCACGAGCCCGTTACCGCTGCTTTCGCTTTGCGTTACTTGGTGAACTTCTCGAAGGCTTCGCCCCTGTGCGGTTCCGTCACCCTGGGCTTTGCTCCGGATGCGCCGCTGCTGGTGCAGTATGATCTCGAGACGGAAGAGAAGGGCCACATGAAGTTCTACCTCGCACCGAAGATCGATGAGTGAAGACTTCCCATGTCTCTGTACTGTATGTCCCTGGAAGGCCTCGATAGGCTGAGTGTTTCGCGTCCGTAGGACTCACACAGGCTCTGGGCTCGTAGGCTTTACGGTTTTGGGGGTTTCTCTGAGGCTGAGTAGCAAGCCCTGGGCTTCACAGTCGGTGGTGGGCAGACGAACCCGCCACCCTTGTGCAGGGAGCGGCTTCATGCACTACTCAGCACTGTCATGAAAAAGGAGGCGATTGCACAATGATGCTTTGCGCTACCGAGATGGTTGCTCTCCATGAGCGTTCGAAACAAGCCTTGCGTTGAAGCCCCGGTGGACCTCCACATGGGTTAAACTGTTAAACGTGAGCATAACAAGCAGTTCGAATTTGAGAGGTTCTCACAGATCTTACTTTGAAGAACAGAGCATTTCAGACTGGCGCCGGAAACCCCAGCCCAAGCCATTACCACAAGACCGTTCTCTGGTCTGAAATGCCACCTGCCGTGCACAGAGCGGGGTTTGCAGCCACTTCATGTGAGGTTCCTTTCGCTCGAGATCATCCTCTCGCATCGACAGCCTCGAGCACAGCCTTTGCCTTCGCCTCCCTGTCCTTTGCGCCTTGCCCAGCATGGCCATGGTCCTGGACGCCCAGCTGCAGCAGGCAGGCCTCTTCAAGAAAGTGGCGGAGTCCATGAAGGACCTCTGCAAGGAGGTGAACTTTGACTGTTCCGAGAGGGGCATGCAAGTACAGAGCATGGACAGCTCTCACGTGGCGCTGGTGTCGCTGATGCTGCGTGAATCGGCCTTCGCTGAGTTCAAGTGTGAGCGGCCCGTGTCGTTGGGCATGAACGTGGATTCGCTCACGAAGATCTTGAAGATGACAGGTCCCAGCGACACGCTGAAGATCCGGCACAGGGGCGACACGGATGTGGCGAACTTCCAGTGTGAGGGCTCGGACGACCGCATCTCGGAGTTTGACTTGAAGCTCTTTCAAATCGAGAACGAGCACATGGAAATCCCCGAACAGCACTACAAGGTGGTTGCCAAGCTCCCGTCGAGTGAGTTCCAGAAGATCTGCCGCGACCTGAAGGAGTTCGGTGAGACTCTGCATTTGACCGGAGACAAGGATGGCTTGAAGTTCGTGGTGTCCGGCGACATCGGCAGCGGCAACGTCCTGCTGAAGCCGCGCGAGACCGAGAAGCCAGAGGAGAAGGTGTCTCTCACGGTGCACGAGCCCGTTACCGCTGCTTTCGCTTTGCGTTACTTGGTGAACTTCTCGAAGGCTTCGCCCCTGTGCGGTTCCGTCACCCTGGGCTTTGCTCCGGATGCGCCGCTGCTGGTGCAGTATGATCTCGAGACGGAAGAGAAGGGCCACATGAAGTTCTACCTCGCACCGAAGATCGATGAGTGAAGACTTCCCATGTCTCTGTACTGTATGTCCCTGGAAGGCCTCGATAGGCTGAGTGTTTCACGTCCGTAGGACTCACACAGGCTCTGGGCTCGTAGGCTTTACGGTTTTGGGGGTTTCTCTGAGGCTGAGTAGCAAGCCCTGGGCTTCACAGTCGGTGGTGGGCAGACGAACCCGCCACCCTTGTGCAGGGAGCGGCTTCATGCACTACTCACGCCATGAAAAAGGCGGAACATATGCACAGACGGCTGCTGTTGGAAGTATCTCAGCACTGCGGGCAAGACCTGGTTGATTTGCAAGCTTTCAGAGCAAGTCTTCACCGATCCCAGAGCCCAACAGCAAAACATCCAGCACGTGTCCGAATGTGAGAGTTGATTGTGGCTCTTCCCTCCATGCACAGAGTTGGTCCACAATGAACCTTTAACCGTAAATCTTGGGAAGCCTGAAACGGTAGGGTTTAGGGTTTGATTTCCCCAATCCCGCCCAATCCCCAAAGCTTACACCTTATAAACCTTGAAAACGTAAGCCTAAGGTTTTAGAAGCCTTACAACTTTGAAACCCCTACACCCACAGATCTGTTCGCCCTATGATCATGCGATTGTGCAATCACACATTGATCCCTCCCGGGCTCATGAGCCTAAAGTAGCCGATGAACACCATCGGCCCATGGTAAGATCCAGACGTCCTGAACGCCACAAACAGCCCCCAAGTGCACATCGAGAAGTCTGCCTAAACAGGCCAACCTGTTCCAACCCGCGTCATCAGCAGTGTTGTGAGGCATACATGCTCATAGCAATGGAAGTGTTGTCCCGAACGCTGAGCCATCTCAACTTGTTTCGTCGGGAGCCCCACACGCTCAGCATAGCTTTGCCCACCCTCCGAGCTTTCCCAGAGCACATGATTCCCGAGTATCCGCCGGAAGAGCTTCACGTCTCTGAGGCCGGGCTGGAAATCTTCCACAAAACTGCGTTTAGGGTCTCGTTAAAACTGGCGCCGGGCTGACAAGACGATTACGAGAATAATGTTCTTGGGGGCTCCTTATTACAATTATTGTTCTGATATAATCGGCCCCTAAAGCCCTATTCTAACTGTTAAGGCCCCTATATTACCACAAGCCCTTCTCGTCCGACCCGAGACCTCGACTTTGCTTGTCCGCGCAGCAAGTTGGAAGCGGAGAGCTGTGGTGTTGTTCGGTGCTCTAAGGTCCGCCCACTAGACGCACTTCTGAAAGTATACGCTGAAGCCAGAACCAAAGTAACTGTTTATTCCCTGAGCAGCACCGCGAGCAGGCAGAGTCAGGCAGAGTCCGAACGGCAAGAGGAAAGCCATGTCAGATCAGGCTATGCCTGGCATAGTAGCAAAGCCTACTTGGTTATGCTGTTGGTGTGGGTGCATACCCGGTGAAACGAACTGCGCGACTGCGAGCTCTGACCTGGTCATTCCTCTTCGAATGCATTCATTCTACACCCTTCTTCAAAGCTGCTATGTGGGCTTGGCCCAGCTGCAAGACGTTTTCTGATGGGTGCGCATTCGACATTAAACCTGTGTTGCTGGTTCTTGTAAACCCTTCATCGCGAGTTTCGGCGACAGCGAAGCCAAGAATGGCCTAACCCGTACTCTATGCCTTCTCGAGCCATAAGACAACATCCCCTGGCTTGATCAACTGTCGAAACATTCCCGCAGGAGTCTTCCAAGCGTGACCGTCTGGCTCGATTGGAGGACCTCGGCCTTCGCTAACTGCTGGGTTCAGCGGAGTATCTAAGTAGGCAACCTCTAGCCGACTCTGAGGGACACGAATCTCTACTATACTCAGCCTTTTTGGGGGTCAGGGAGCGGCGAAACGAGGTGAAAGGATAAGCATACAACTTTCAGCTGTCGCATATTTGTTGAACCTTCTTGTTCAGTTTGGGCCGTAGCATTCTACGCAAAGCATCCCTACGAATCGATCTGTATTGGCCATGACAGCCTTGCGAAGGGAATCATCTGTAGAGCCGTTCAGTATGAGACTGCGACCTTGGGTTTCATAATCGGAATATCCTGCGACGCAGACAGCTTGCATGTGATAGGGTCGATTTTGACCTGGTTTCGTAGCGCGAACAGGCGTCGTGTTCTGTCTGTTGCGACAAAGGGCTTGTTTGTACTATGTACCACACTCAGAATCGCCTCCATTCCCACCGCTTGATTGCACTTAGCAGACTTAGCATTGATTGCTTGCCGACGAATCAGTCCAGGAGGAA